TTGGCTAACAATTTAGTCATGTATTGATAGCTTGTAGTATAAGCTAAACATGTGGTGCATGTTTAGAAAACTTGCCTTATAAGTTAAGACATGTGTCTTGGAAATAAGACACATGTTCAAGGTCTAACAAAACATCACGATGTAGCTTTTAGTTAGATAGTATATATGAGGACAAAAATAAAGCATTTTTCATTCTTATCAATTCTTTTTTTTACTTCTAATCCAAGTTCAAGAATCTTTAGATTTTTAGTCTTTGGAAATAGTCATTCTAGTTTCTTCTTAAATATATATATTTTTTTATTATCATTTTGTCATCTTTCTTTGATATTTATCTCACTTATTTATGTTTCTTCTTTAAATTCTTATCTTGACAAATATACCTAAAAAAAGAAGAATATTGATACCTTTTTGCATCGAGGGTAGATTTTCTATTATCACAATAGTAAGAGATAGATTTGCTATTATCAAGAATACATAGTTATTCTAAATGTTTTAGCATATTTTAAAGGTATATATAATATTTTTTCAAAAATTTGAACTCTACAATAAAAATAAGACTTTTAGAAGTCATTGAATTTAATATCTTTTGTTAAATTTGGCTTCTTTTTTGTATTAAATTTATCACAATATCTGCATGTATAATTTAAACTTACAAAAAAATCACTAATTTTTTTAAAGTTAAAATTTATTCAAAGTATAATAAATTTATTATTTAAATATATTAATATTAATATTAATATTAATATATTATTATTATAATACTATTATTTTTTGAATTTAAAGAATAATTTTTTAAATTAATATATAAGAATATTATAAGAATATTATTACTATTTTACATAATAATCTCATTTAAATCTTAAAAATTATATGACCTTTATACTTTATTTTTTATTTAAATAATAAATCTATATTTTAAAATTAAATTGGTTCTAGAAATAATTACAATTGTGGTAAAGTTTGTAACAAATACAGAAGTCATATTGAAATCCACAACCAAAAACTTACAAATATAGTTTTTATGATATTCTTATCTTAGACTTTAAGAATTTATTTAAATATATTTTTTTAAAGAAATATCTCTTCATTAAAAAACAAATACAGAAGGCCAATGTTAAGATAGATGACTTATATTCTACATTATATATTGCATGAATAATTTTTGGGTTTTTTAAAATTATTTTCAGTATTTGTGTATTTATGAATTATAAGTATGTGTGTTCTTTAAAACCTTATTTTACCATTTGATTACATTTTTGAAAATAATAATAATTTATTATTTGTATACTATAAATTTTTAATTTTTAATTTTTAATTATATTTATATTTATATTATTTTATATTAAAATCATTATTGGTTAAAAAATTATTAATCCGATTATTTTTATTAATTATTATTTTAGAACTCACTCTAATTTTATCCTTTTATTCGTCAAAAGCTTTGTAGTTGTACATCTTGTATCATTGTATAATTGAATAAAATTCTTTCTTTCAACTTTTTTATATTTATTAATTTCAAAGGGATCATAATTATAATTAAAATATACACTTTGAATGCATTTTTATTAATTTATTATTACTTTTATTTTTTTAAAAAAATAATCTTCTTGCATACTATATGTTATTTTGTATAACTTTTAATGTTTTACACTCTGATTTTACTGATTGATTGTAATAATATAGAAAAGAGTGAAAAATAAAGTAACGTGCACAATCTCTCATATTTGGATAGCACTATAAAAAATAAAAATAAAATATTTAAAACATTAATTCATTAAATATTGAATTAATTTATAAGTTATTTATAATTTATTATTAAATTATTTACAGCTTGAATAATAACTCACTAGAAGTTTCAATAAGATTTTAATTCAATTAATGGCAAAAAAATGGAAAATTCTAACAATTTTCATTTTAATTCCTGTTTTACTCTTCTTTTTTGCAATATGTGATTTATGCATATGATCATATCCATGTGGCTATTTATTATGTACTATTATTTGCAATGCTTACAAGTACCTCTGAATTGAATCTACATGAAATGATTTGTTCATGTTTGAAGTGACACATTATCCCTTTGACACCCTACTAGCCCAATGCATCTTTCAAAGTTACAAAATAGGCATCAGAAAACACATCTTCACCTATTGTAGACCATTTTTTTTAATCAACCCTTGCTCTCAAAAGTGGTTGAGAAGGAAACTTAGAACCAAAGAGCTTGTTTTCCACACGTACATGGAGTCCAAAAGTACTATTTTTATTTTATTTTAATTTATTTTATTTTTAAAAATCCCTTTACTTTACTTCTTCCAAAGAATGTGTTAAAAACCAAGAAGAGAAACCTAATATTCTACACCAAAGCCTATTTTGTCAAAATAATGACACTTTATTTTTAGAAAAATGATAATATTTAACAAGCACGTTTATTAAGAGAATGTAATCAGCCAGAAGTCAAGATTCTGAAACCACATGTGATGGGAGCCCACGGCAGCACAAAAACACTGTGTTTTTTTCTTTCTTTTAGGGTCTTGTTAATTTTTTTTTTTTTTTCCTGTAGGACCTTCATTTGAAATAGTGGCTATCTTTTTTTGTACAATAAACGACTCGTGAGATCCAAGCTCTCAATTGTACAGTACTATGGGCACACCACATGGTTGGGTAGCATTAATGGGGAACAATTGGCACAAGTTAGAGAGCCCAACTTATTGTACATTGGCTTTGGTACCTTTGCTTTCATGGATTGCAGTGTAGATCCATTCTTATCATTGCACTAGCTGACTGCAAACAACAACAACAACATACACATGGGTTCCCCTTTCTTTTCTTTTGTTTATTTATTTATGATTTCTTCTTAAATTTATGTATGTTTTTAAATGGGTTTACTTTCCAGCACACTATATTTAATAATTGATTGAGTTTGGTTGAATTGAGCCATTGTGTTTCCACAAAGAACAAGCAACTTGCCACATCACAGACTGTTGACAATAGTTGTGCTTTACCCATTTGAAGGCTTTTGTACGTCCTCATTTTGATTCATACGTTTCAAGCATCAGTTGGAGAGATTGCCCTGTTGTGGGCCACAACCCAGGATATCCAAAATAGACATACTTAACTTTAGTCCATTGTAGGAGTTCAATAAATGAAGCAATCATATATATATATATATATATATATATATTTAAGCACATACACATACTTATAAATTATATGAGGAAAATCTGAGGTTTCTTCCATGACTACTCTCCAGAGAGACACATGCCCAGTTCTGCATCCCATGACAAGTGTTGTAAGGCTGAGCATGCCAAGTTGTGCATGTGGAATTGAGAGTTCCCATTTTTCATTCCTAAACTAAAATTTCAAGGGCTATTATAATATATCTATATAAATATATATATATATATATATATATATTATTGTTGATGAAGGGGGAGAGTCATTGAAATGATGTAACCAAAAAGTTTACAGGCATTAGTTTGTTGTGTGATAGTGTCACTTCTCTGCATTCTCAAAATGTACACATTTCTTCAGGTGGAAAAAGTTTGGATTGTGATGTGGATAGAGAACAACATCCATCTGTATTGTCTTCTACATCAATTTTTTCTCAAGATAAAAAAAACAAAAACAAAAAAACAAACGAAAAAACAAAAACAGAGGTTTGGAAGGATAAAGTCACCCTAATGAGAAACTCAGGGTATATGACACCAACTGTGTGCCTTGGGAATGTAGTCAAGAGGGAGCTCCACTGAGCTTAGATGCTTGTCCTTGAATGTGAAAAGATTATTCCCAGAAGAATAGATAAAATAAAATAAAAGTTAATTAAATGAATAGATTGTTAACTTGTCAGATGAATGGTCATTATCTTTGGCAGTACAAATCACACCACCAAACTTACCATGAATGGGCTGTTTTATTATGGAAGCCAGCACCATTCCATATTCCTGCAAAAAATTATGCACATTGGTGAGCATTGGACACCCTTTTACATTCCCATTCTACATGATTTTTGTTTATATATATTCTTTTAATATTTTTAATGTTTTTTTTAGTTGTTATGAGGGCAGTTTAGCTTGTAAGACATCTTTGGAAGAATAAAGAAAGAAAGAAAGAAAGAAATAAAAACCTCCAAAAGGAGTGTCTGTCTCCAGTGCAAAACAATCATTTGGTAATAACACAACGTGATGGAACAAGGTAAACTATAATTATTCGTAACATATCAATTGAATTGATAAACATTAGTTACTCAAGGTATCAAAGCATTCATACAACTTTGAAAATGGCTGTGGATGTGTGTTTAAGTTTATTCTTCTACAGACAGAGGAGAAAGCAGGATGAAATTCTTTGATGCAGGACAAGTGCTACTGGATCTTCCACATAAGACTTAAAAAAAACACTAGAAATTCATTGATATCCCAAAGCAGAACTCCTTCCATACATGAACCACTGAACTTACCAAGCCATGCACAATGATGACAACAACAGTCCTTCAAAGAGGAAAAACAACAACATTAACAATAGGACAAATCATGACAAAAACTATAAAATACCGCAGTAAGAGATATAAAAGAAAGAAAGAAAGAAAAGAAAGGAAAAGAAAAACAGTCGAATATAGACACCGAAAGCGGTGAGGAATGATGTAGTGAGATGAGGAATCCACCATAAATCCGAAAGAGGAGAGAAGAGTGGGCGCGAGTGGGAACAGGAAAGGGATAGGGAATCAGGAAGGAAGTCCACAAAGGGCTTCCAGTGAGAGAGACAAGCCCTACCTATTGAAGGGCAAGGGAAGCATCACGGCACCGCATCCGGGAATATGCGACTGGCAGTTGAACACCTTCGCATCAAGAGGACCAGGCTATTCAACGCAATTCTGTTGGCCAAGGGAAGAGCCAGCCAGCACACCATATTCATCTCCCTATTCACTTTCCTCACTCAAACAAACAAACCTAAAACTCAAAAAAATCTTGAACAACACCGCCGCAACAGCACAAAAAGTAGAAGAAGAAGAAGGAGAAGAAGCAGCAGCAGGAGGAGGAGAATACAAAAGGAAAAAGAAAAAGGGACCTGGCACAAGGGTAGCAGCAGAAGGAGCAGTCCACCATCGCCAGCGCAGCCTCGAAATCCGCAAGCCTGTAACGGGAACCGTACCGAGGGACTTGTGTGCATAAAGCGAGTGCCCGCTTTTCTCCGCCTGTGCCATGAGCGTTCGCTGAGAACGGGCTGCATGTTAAGGAGGAGGAGGAGGTGAAAGAAGAAGAGGCTGGGAGACGTGTGCCCCGGGGTCCCTTTGTTATTGCTGCTGTTGTGACATTGTGGGGAGAGTGCGCTCCTACATTGATTGCGATTGCACCGAGTAACCCCGTGCAAAGTGGGTAATTGCGGCCGCGGCGTTTGTTGTGATGCATTGTGGGTTCTGTGACGTTTCTTGAGATGGGTTGAGTGTGTGGGTTGGGGTGGGATGATGGAAGATCTGGGCTTCGAATTTGGCGGTACTTTGGGTTTGTGTTTCTTCTGTGATTTGAATTCTCTTCCTTCGAAGGATTTGAAGTTGGGAATCATCACCACCATCATACTCCAGCATCTATTTTATTTTATTTTCTCTTTGTAAAGTTGGCCTGCTGTCTAAGTCGTCCAGAACTCGTTACGGTCCTTCGCTTGATTTTCTTTCCCATCGCATGCGAATCTTCTTGTTGAAGCGTTTTCTACCGCCAGTCTTGCCAGTGTCGTGATCCATTCTAGTCTGTAGAGATGTCCTGTATGCAGTTCGAAGATTTCTTCACCCTTGCGTCGATTGATTCATCGCCGCGCGGTGTGCGCGGTAGGCAGAGAGCCTGCAGATGATCAGTTGCTGCCCAGACACAGGTACCCATGGCTGTGGTTTACGTCCCCCAAGACTGAATGGTTGGTCGGTTAGACAGGGGATTTATGATTCCTTATCAGCCGTAGGGATTTATAGTCCCTGTACTTTTCCTTGGAAATCTAGTTGATATTCGAAGCAATCAACTTCACCATTGAAACGTCTGGGCTCGTTTTTGTTTGAATGACCTGATATGTTTTAACTCTGAGTTTTCGGAACAGAATCAGAAGATAGCTTAACTGATTGAATAGGACTCTCAAATTTTCCAGATATACGGCTGGGTTTGTTATCTGAATCTCTCGCTGCCATGAAAGTTTCAGAGCGAGGGTCTTTGAGTGAGTTCTGACTATGACTTACTCTTCGATTGTTTTGTCCATGCTTCTGTTCTTTAACCGACCTTCTTTTGGTACCGACAGACAGGAGGTTCGCACGGCGAAATGCAATTTCACTTGCGACTTTATCGAGTGAAACTCCGTACGGTCTCATGCTTTCGAGAGTAGCTGTAGCTAATGAGCCGTTACTGTTCGACATTATTGTGCACATAAAAATCCTGTTGTCTGATCAACCATCGAGATGTGGTGGTTGGCGGAAGAGACTGCTCACAAATTTAGCGGATATGGCTCAATTAGAGAAATATGAAATCGCGTCGCCGGTAGTTTTGGAGGCAGTCTCCTTGTCCGTGCATGCATGAATGCGCGTACGAGCGTAGATAAGCTTAAACTTCAGGCGTCTCGGGTCGTTCCTCCATTTAGTATTCGTATCGTTGTGTGGTACCTTAATGTTCCCATGTCTCGAGTCTTGATATCTTGCGGAATACCATGGATGTTAGGTGAACGCCAAGAAGTTTAATATTTTGCATTCACGGCGAAATTTCTGGTCACCAAGCCACAGAAGAAGATCTTCGCAACATGCAAAAATCTGGTATATGAAGAAGGGTGAATGTTTTTTCAGAGTGGTTGTGTGAACCATGTTGTGCTTGGCTCCACGATTTTCTACTCCAAGAACCTTGAGAAGTCTCCTTTACTAACCAATAAAAGGGTCATACTGTGCAATGCTTATATTTCAGAAAGATAATTAATAAACGAACTCGAATCGATTAATATCACAACTGAATTAACTTTCTTTGTAGGAGAAAATTGTCAATGGCAGCTCAAGCTATGATCTACTGGCTCTGCCCTTCTCTCCAGGTGTTCTAACGTCTCTCGGCTCCTGATCTTGACAGAAGGTGAAAGGGCCACTGAGTGTTGATCATGGCGCAGCTCGAGGTCTTGTCCGCCTTGGACAAAGCGAAAACGCAATGGTACCACTTTACGGCGATTATTATTGCTGGTATGAGATAATTTTGCAATCCTTAACCCCATAATTTCCCAAAGCATGATTTAGTTGCACCCCCTGAAATTTTGTGTCGGTAACATCTTCTGTTTCCTCACAGGCATGGGGTTTTTTACCGACGCTTACGATTTGTTCTCTATCCCCATCGTTACGAGACTTCTTGGGCGAATCTATTATTATGACCCTCTCACTGGCAAACCTGGAAGCCTACCCGCAAACGTGAACGCTGCAGTTAATGGAGTAGCCTTGTGTGGAACTTTGGCGGGCCAACTGTTCTTTGGGTGGCTTGGTGAGCGGTACACTCACTCTCTTGGCCTTTGATCGCGCACACATATTGATCTATTGTTTTCGTCTTTCATGTAGGTTTGTTACCGCCAAATCACAAGGCCCAGGAAAACTCTCTGTAAGATTGTTTGAGCTGATCATGATGTTGATCCTTATTTATTCGGTCAAATTGTGCAGGTGACAAACTGGGACGCAAGAAGGTGTACGGAATGACGCTCATGATGATGGTCGTATCTGCTCTTGCATCTGGTCTTTCCTTTGGCCATACAGCGGCGTCTGTGATGACAACACTTTGCTTTTTCCGGTTCTGGCTCGGATTTGGAATCGGTGGCGATTATCCGCTGTCAGCGACCATCATGTCAGAGTATGCGAACACCAGGTAATATATGCCTTGAGTATTTGCATGCTGGTGGGGTTTAACGAAGGGAGGTTGATGGCAGAGTGTTCACTCTTGCCGTTCCACCCGACAGCTGACATAGGTTCCATGTTCATCTGTCTAATTATTTCACTTTTTGATAGGACTCGAGGTGCATTCATTGCGGCAGTATTTGCTATGCAAGGGACGGGTATATTGTGTGCTGGGGCGGTCGGGTGCATTGTTTCTGCCATCTACAACCATGCAGTCCCTGCACCGCCTTTTAATGTCGACCCTGTTGCCTCGGTACCGAACTCTGCGGACTTTGTGTGGCGCGCCATCCTTATGTTCGGTGCGGTACCAGCTGCTGCAACGTATTATTACCGAATGAAGATGCCCGAAACAGCTCGATTTACAGGTAATACAAACCTCGCTACCGGCAGAAAATTGGTGGGCAGCTTAGAATGTGATTCGAGTCTGATAACAACAGCTCCGAAAGCTCTGTCCCAGATAAACCTTAATTTCTTTTTAACTTTACCTATCAAGTTTCGGAGAACCATTTAGAAGAGAATTTAACCAGTTTCGACACGTTTGGTACATCATTCATTTTCTTTCTCTATACTCAACGCTTATAGGTTGGCAATTTCTTGAAAATTAATGCTACAATAATCGAAAAGAAGATAAGTCTAGATAGACTAGAATCTGTGGAGAACGTTTTCAGTGTGCGAGATAATTTACTGGTCAGTGATCGTGATGTTGACGTGGGCACCTTCTAACCGGTTTTTGTTTTCACAGCGCTTGTGGCTGGGAATGCAAAGCAGGCTGCCCAGGACATGTCCAGCGTACTTCAAATGGAAGTCCAGGCCATCCAAACACGTACTGAAAAAAGAATTGAATACGGTCTGTTTTCGGCCGAATTTTTCAGGAGGCATGGCGCTCATCTGCTAGGCACAACCTCGTGTTGGTTCTTACTGGATGTGGCCTTTTATTCACAGAATCTGTTCCAGAAAGATGTTTACACTGCTGTTGGTTGGCTCCCTTCAAGCAGTTCCATGTCTGCCGTGCAAGAGGTTTTCAAAATCTCAAGGGCGCAGTCACTGATCGCACTGTGCTCAACCGTGCCAGGGTACTGGGTCACAGTATTTCTCATCGACCGCATTGGGCGATTTAAAATCCAGCTCCAGGGCTTCTTCTTCATGACGGTGTTCATGTTAGGCCTCACCATCCCCTACGATCATTTAAAGAAGCACAACAGCACTGGCTTCCTTGTCATGTACGCACTTACCTTCTTCTTCGCAAATTTTGGTCCAAACAGCACGACCTTCATCGTTCCTGCGGAGCTCTTTCCCGCTCGCTTCCGGTCGACTTGCCATGGCATTTCTGCAGCGGCTGGAAAAGCTGGCGCAATAATTGGATCTTTCGGGTTTTTGTACGCCGCCCAAAGCCCCCACCAGGCCGAGGTTGAAGCAGGATACTCCAAGGGAATTGGTATCAAGAACGCGCTGCTCATCCTTGCCGCCACCAATGCTTGCGGCTTCTTCTGCACATTTTTGGTGCCCGAGACAAACCAATTGTCATTGGAAGAGTTGTCTGGAGAGAACGACGAAAATGCTCAAAGCGCTGCAGAAGGAAGGGAGATGGCGGCTGCCAACGGACATCAAAAGGGCACGAACGGAGGAAACAGTGTCACCTAGAAAACTTAGTTGTTCCTCCAGAAACATGATTCCAAGTAGAATCTAGCTTGCTTTACAACTCTTGAGGGAAGATGTCATAATTGCTAGGTACGTTGCTCAAATCATTAGTAGGGTCTTCAAACCTGACTGCAGATTAACATCACTATCTCCAGGATGACTCCAGATATACTTTGCCTACAAGAACTTACACGACCCAAGAGGTGTGTTATGAACACCAGTAGCAGTTGGCAATCAAGAATATAGATTAGCGACTTGTCTGTAGTGAAGTCGACATGCCTAGAACTTGTTAGGACCTTCGTCGAGAGGAGAATAAAAGGGAGTGGAGCTTTACAATCTTAGGCATTAGTGGGGTACTGTCAGTAATTGGAAACTTTGTGGAGGGGTGGAACTCCTGTACAAACAGCTTCCCCATTACATGTTGATCCTACGACTCCTGGTCGAACAAATTAGATTGCTTTCTCCAATTCATTTGATCCTTTTCTATACTCTGACTAGCCCTCCGGTGTTGCGTCCCTTGAGTCAGTGCTTTGCAATTGGTGACATTGAACAGAAGCCGATCAATGCTCTAGTGTTGTGGGCTGTACTTCAGCGCTTCTAACCATTGTATGCACTTATGGTGTGAGTTGCGAGATGCGCCTAGTGTTATTCGTTCTCTCACCGGAAATGAAAGCACAAAAGCGTCTTTTCCACGATTGAAATGCAGGGAATATTGAATTTTCCTTAGCTTCGCCTTGGTAGTTGGCGAGATTACGTACGCACAGATGCCTCTCCTTGACAGTAATCTGGTGCACGTCAGGGACCATGCCTCCAGTGTACCGCAGATTGTACTTCTCGCTCACGTAGTAGCTGATCAGCTTCTCGTAGTCAGGGTTGTCGCAGGTGGCGCTCAAGTTTCCGGGGGAGAAGAGCTTGCCTTCCTTGATCTCAGTGATCTCCTTCACATGCTGCCACTTGCCGTCGTCCATGAGAAGAAACTCGTGAGTACCGGGGAAGCCGTCGATGGCGATCACGTAGGTCGTCCGTGGCTCGTAAATGCCCATGGCGGAGGCAGCTTGGTCGCGTGAGATTGTCGCCAGGCCAGACACCGAAGATGGTGCCGACGGTGAAGTTGGTGTCGACGATGCTAGACCCGTCCAATGGGTCAAAGGCAACACAAAATCCCTCATCCCTCCATATCCTGAAGCACGGGCTTCTCCTCAGAGCATGCGTACTTGCAGACGTGAGAGTAGCGGAGAGCCTCGAAGAGATGCTTATCTGCGAGCATATCGACCGCGAGCTGCTCATCTCCGAAGGTGTTGACGCAAGCGGTGGCTTCGCAGAATGCTGGGCGGACCTTGAAGGCAATTGTGCGGGGAGCCTCCCTCATGCACACCAGCAACCTGGCCAGATTCTTGTCCAGGATAGCCTTGACCAGAAACTCCTCCAAGCTCAGCACGAGTTAAGGCCTTCCTCGCAGTAGACGAGGTCCTCCGGGAAACTGCATTGAATGCAGCACGCATGTAGGTGCCATACAGAGTGCTGGCCTTTCCTCCCTGCCTACAACAGAAACGATATCGCCTACCAGTTTCTAGAAAAGATGACTACATGAAGATTAGTGAGATGTTAGATTGTCTTCTACACCCTACTTGTTACTAAAATTGGATGTGTTATGAAAGTTTGTTCCAAACTAAATGTTATAGAAGCCAAAGGGGAGGGCACTTCTAGTATCTTTGATAAGAGCTGGATAAGTCACAGTTTTTGGTACACTCCTCCTCAAAAAGTGGGACTTAATTCTCTATTGAAACAAGACCTAACATATCTCTAAAAGCTAGAAACTTATCTTTAGGAAGAGATTTTATAAAGATGTTTGTCACCATCTACTTTGTGAAATAATACTCCAAACTAATTTCTCCTTTTCTGGTACATTCTTTAATAAAATGATGTTTCCTATCCCAATGCTTTGTACAACTATGATATACTAGATTCTTCGCAATAGCAATGGCATTCTGGTTATCCTCATATATAAGCAACTTTTCTAGTTCAGCAATGTCATAATTCTTTACTTTATAATGCAACAAAGTCTTCTTTGCTACAGTAGCCAAAGCTACATACTCGGTATTTGTTGATGAAATAGAAACTAAAGATTGCTTCTTGCTTGACCGAGTGATAATTGCCTTGTTCAATATAAATACATAATCTCCTACTGAACACTGTGTCTCCACACAACCTGCTCCATCTGCATCATTATAGCCTAGAAGTTACAAATTTGCTTCTTTTCTTCTATATTATAACATCAAATATTTTGTTCTTTGTAAATAATAAAATATTTTTTTGATTCCTTACCAATACAAAATATATGGATATGCCATATATTGACCAAAGTATTCATAAGCAAATGCAATGTCATATCTTGTACTATTTGTAAGGCACAATAATGAATCTAAAGCTTTTTGATAAAATTTTATACCTTTTGCATCCAAAAGATCATCATTCTTATGCTAAGTGACGTGACTTCATATTATTGGTGTAGCAACTACCTTTGCAACTTTTATCTCAAATTCTTCTAACTTTTGTCATGGATATACATAAGTACTCTAGTAAATACCTACATAATTAGGTAGAAATAGATAAAAGTAAATAAAAGTAGGCTAATTTCATAATACCTTTTATAATAGCTTCCTAGAAGCTTCATAGATGTTGCTTTGACTTTACATATATTTATAGTTGATTGATAAGTTAGAAACTTGGTCAACAAGTTAACCACATATTGGTAGCTTGGGGAACAAACTAACTATGTAGCGTACATATAGAAAACTTGTTTTGCAAGTTAAGATATGTATCTTGTAAAGTCAACATATTTTGGAGGTCATATATGACATCGCCATGAAGCTCCTAGTTAAGAGTATATATGGAGGCAAGAATGAAGCCTTCTTCACTCTTGTCAATGCCTTTTCAATCTTTAGTCTTATTTCAAGACTTTCTACTCTTCTTGTTTTTGGCAATAGCCATTCTAGTTCAATATTATATCATCTTTGAATGACTTTGTAATTCCTTTCAGTGATACAAGAATATATTGAGGATTTTCTTTCTTTGAGATTCATGTCCTTGACAACTTTCGGCAAATGTACTTAGTTTGGTTCAAACTAATAGTACCATTTTTCTTATCTTTCAAAAAATCAATGCAAAAAATATCACTAAGTTCACCAAGATCTTTTATCTTGTAGCACTCTTGTAATTCATCTTTGTATTTCATAAGGATCTCAAAGTTCTTACAACAAATAACTACTTCATCAATATATATATATATATATATATATATATATATAATGCAAAAACTAGTCTCTTAATGTACATTGTGTACACACAAGGATCTGATCATGAGTGCTTTCAACTAATATTTAATAAAGATTTATCAAAAAAATTATTCCATCCACATTCAAATTGCTTCAAACCATATAAAGTCTTTAGCAGTCACAACACCTTGCCTTTGTTTTTTGATAGAACTTCCAAATCTTTTCAAAGCTTTATATAAATATCCTCTTTTTTAAGTTTGATATTTAAATAACTTGAAACAACATCAAGTTGCAATATATTTCAATTAAGAGTAGTAGTAATTGCAACAAATATGCAAATTGTTGTAAAGCAAGCAATTGATGCAAAAGTTTCTTGATAATCAAGACTCTTTACTTGATTAAAATCATTTATAACCAATCATCTTTAAAATGTTCAATGGAACCATTACTAATAAGTTTTTTCTTTAAAACCCATTTTGAATCTATAGCCTTCCTACTATAAAGTAAAAATAAAAATTTCCATAATATTTTAAAAAATCAAGTTCTTCTTTCATGGCATGACTCCATTCTTTGCAAAAAGGTGAATTCATCGCTTACTCAATAGTCTTTGATTTTGCATATTCATCAATGTGAATCACATCTACTATTTGAATTGGCAAGTCATAATGTCTTCAAATAAAATTGTAGTCTTTTTTCTAAGGCATGTGATGCATCCTACTACTACTTATAATATTTGTTGGATCAATACCACTTATATAATGACATCTTAGTAGTAGAGCTTGAGTGATTGCTTCTACTTCAAGTTGATGGATTCTAGTACTTTTGTTGATATAGGATTTGCTTCTTCTTCAACCATTTCTCCATCCAATCCATCTTGCACATATAATCTTGAGGCTTGAGGTTGGGATGTATCTAATTACTTAGATGTTAAAAATCTAGCAAATTAAAATTATTTATATGATCTATATCTTCTCCAATTCTCTCTTGAAGGGTCAGTGGCTTACTAAGTAATTCATCCTTGTTATTGAAAAAAATCACATCTCAACTAAGGATTATCTTGTTTTCCTCATGTAAAAAAATTTCATATCCTTTTGTCACTTATGAATATCCAACAAAAATATCTTTTCTTGCCTTTGCATTGAGCTTTTGATATATTTTTTTGGTATATGATACCAAGTAAGAAAACAAAAGCAATGAGCATTTTGAAGATAAGATTTTTTATCATAAGAAACTTCTTATGGTGTCTTACCATTGAGTCTTACAAGTGAAAGGCGATTGCAAGTTCATGTCACAAATTTTGCTGCAAACATCTAATATTGACGATCTAGCTTGGCATTGTTTAGAGGTGTTTTTATTCTTTCAAAAATAGTCTATATCATATGCTCTTCTATGCCAACAATTTCATGTGTATATATAGGAGTGATCATGTACTAAATGCCTTCAACTTTGAAGTGAGAACGAAGCTTATTATTCAAAAATTCAATACTTCCATTAATATATATATATATATATATATATATTTATTTTAATTCTTCTTTGTATTTAAGCTTGCCAAGTCTTATAAAAAACATGTACTTGGCCCTTAGCTTGAAGAAATGAAAGGCTAAAATAGCCAAAATATTCATCAATCTACACAACTAATCATTTGGTGCCACCAAAGCTAGTTATATCAAAATAATCAAAGTCAAACACTATTACATTTAAAATACCATTAGCATACTTATGCTTATGTGAAAAAGATTGCTTATGAGCCTTGCTAACAATGCATGATTTATATATAGATATTTTATCCTTATCCTCTTTAATCTTTAATCCTTTAACATAATTCATCTGCTCTACCTTCTATATTATATGCATTAATGTATGTGCTAATGCTTGATGCCATTTAATAAGTATACAAATTAAAATAGATAAACTAAAAATTATTGTAACTTCTTCAATTTCACAAGGCAATTGTGAGTAAGTCACTTGAAGGTAGAAGCCAATCAACTCCATTGACATCTAAGTTAAATTTGCAACCTTTCTAGCATAAAGTTGCAACTGATAATAAAGTATCAAATGTTCCAAGAACCTAGTAGACATCCTTCACAACCATAGGAATGTATTTTTTCTAAGATCTAAAACTATAAGATGCATCTCACTTGAGTCTTGTGATTTGCTAATGCCACCATCATAGCTTTGAAGTTGGATAGTCTCATTTTCATCAAAATT